ATGCTATTAAGGTGACAGGGATTGAGAGAAGAGGGATTCACTATCTGAAGGGCTTACATACTGGGCATTCCAAATCTAAATACCTGAACCAAGCAATTGCCTTACATTATTCCTGTGGGTTAGACAACTGACTAATAGTAATCCTTTTTATGTATTAATCATTGTGAAGTAACTCATCATTGCTTCATTGGTTCAGCCCCCCAATGCTCTCTTCTTGCATAATCTATATCTGTTTTGCTGTAGCTTTATCTTGCCATACCTTAATGAAAAACTGATAATATTATGTATTTATTCTCTAAATGTGGCAAAGTTCAATTCACCAAATTCTGGAACCAAAATAAAAACTGGAACAAAGTATAATTTTACAAATAGCAGGTGCCTCTCCAAATTGCTTCAATTTATCTTGAGATTCATCTAAAAAAGACATGCATGTTTGGCAATAAATGTATCAAAGGAAAAGGTTATATCGTGATAACGAATGGTTCTTAACACTTGGAACAATGACATAGCCAAATTAACTAAAGTTTCTTGTTGCCAGTAATAAGAATGGGATACCTCTAGCCGAATTGCTGTCAGCAGAATCAATATCATACTTTCTGGAATTACAGTGCAATTTTTACCTGTGCTTGTCTATTGTCCATTATGTAGCATTTATTGAAAGCATGACTAAGCTGTTGTAAAAATGCTTCCAAACAAGCAGTTTTTAATGCTACCAATCATAAGACATTGTGGAATCAGACTGCCTTTTTATTGCAACTGAATTATTTTCTAGTAAGCAACATTACAGAAGAAACTTTGGAGTTACAAATGGAAAATGGTAACATCTGGACCCCATCTTGCACTGGTTAAATTCCTTGCATGTAGCAGGGCAATTGCACAATAAAAGCCTTGTGTGGAAGAAGCTTTCCTAAACAAAAATGTTACTGTTTAGTTCGTAGGGAGGAGAGGGAACTGCCTAAAAAGTTTTTAGATTAGTTTCCAGAAAAGATGCCACTCTCTTCTAGCCAAGTTCCATTGTTTTTACTGTTAAAAACTTTCATTACAACAACTAATGGGAGGGAAATGTTGAAGAACAACTTATTCTCTAAAAGGTATGACATTTCCTTGCAAAATCCAGAATTAGAATCTATTTATAAATAGTCATTCATTAGTGGTATTTACAACATCTGACTTGGATACTGAAGTAATCCATCTTCTGGGTTTTCTCAAAATATTGCATCATAAACCAGTTAAACACACTACCTGAAAAATTAAAAACCCGCTAACGTTAAACTAGCCAAGCTTAATATGTTGCATCAATACAGCTGTTAAGCCTCAAGGTTCAACTGACTCATTTAAGATTCCTCCAGGGTCAGAACAGAGACTCACTTGAAAGAAAGCTACAAACTAACTGAAAGACATAATGCCTCCAGTTGGTTACCTTCCCTATTTCTTTCGCAAAAAGGTATTTCATTTGTTTACGAAGTTGCAGATAGATTGCACTGATATCCCCAACCAGTCCATCGCATCTTTTTGCCTCCCAATCAACCACACAGCCCTAATAATTGTAGCTGTTTGATTGTGAGGATGTAGAAAGACTATCTGCCTTAAGGATGTCAGCACTTATCCATTGGAATTCAAAACCTCACAACTTGTTGCAGAAACCCTGTAGAGTTGCAAATTGGTAGCTTCCTTAGACAGTAGATGCCTCCCAGATTGACCATTGGTCTTGATGGACTATGAAAATTTCTGGGCTATGCTTGAGTTTTTGATTATTCCAAGTTTAATGAGTAAATTCAGGGAATCTAATATTTATTGAGCAATCTAGTAATCTCTATGGAGAATACAATCAGCATCTCAGATAAGCGAACAACTTTGAAATGTTTATTTGGAAAGGAGATAAAAGGAATGGTGCTGTAGATATTTCTGAAACTCTGCCTCAGACATTGTATACACACCCCACCATCCCTGCACAACTGGTTTACTTTTTGAAAAGTTTAATGCAGTTAAGCACCCTAAAATCAACATGCATAGGGGGAATTATATCCATGCTACCTTAGGTCACATAACCAGGGAAAAGAAGGAAGACAGCTTAGAATGGCACAATCAACAACATTCTGAACATAAGAATGTTTCTATAAGAAACATTCCTATGGAATGTACTGGGGAATTTTTTTTCTGAATGTTTTCACTTGAAGCCCTTAGTATAACCCAGATCATATTTGAACAATTATTTTCTTGTGTTTGTTTCTACCATCATTGCAAATTTATTCCTGTTTCAGGAGATCTATCCTGTTTTCACAATTCTGAACCCCCTCACATAGTTTCTTTCCAACATTCTATTGCTTTGGAAAGAATAAAAAAGATTGACTTTTGATCCTTTTGTCAATCGTCTCCAACCTAGTGTCTTCTAGCTGTCTTGGCTGCAAATTCTGGGAGTTGTGATCCAAAATATTGGATCAACAAAAGTTACTTTTATATGTTCATGTTTATTTATGTAACTCATATTGAATATGCCTGAAATTGGCCAAGGTGTGGAATCTGTAATAAACTCGGTGACCTGATTCTTTGGGATATTCCTGCTGTTTCTTCTGCAAAAGTGCATATAGTCTTGTTTGAGTTATATACCCTCTCAAAACCCTTTCCAATATCTCACACACATATACGTGGGAAGTTTATCCAAGTAATGCATTTTTGTATGATACTTATTGTGTAACTATTACTGGGAAGACATGAAAAGTTTGGAGACCTTGGTGCTTTCTAAGGTTGGTTTTTTTGTCAAGGTCTGGTCAGGAAACATCTGCAAGAAAGCAACCAAGTTCATTGAGCACCAAGGGCGGCACAATTCATCCCTGAACTCCAGACATACTCTTCTATTGGTACATGGAAAAGTATCAGACCGTAGTTAACATGCAGGCAGGTTTCACCTTATTTTAGTTAGCATGAAAAAGACCTTCATGTTCCAGTCTCATTTAAGGCAGTGAAAACACAAAAGCAGATGTGTTTATACTGTTCATTTCAAATGTTTTCTAACAGCCATAAAAAGACTGTTTAACGTTTACCATTTTATTAAAACAGGTAGACCTTTCCAGCATGCTAGGACTGAAAGCATATACAAAGCTGTAAACAAAATTCAAATTTCTTTACTTATTTACATGAGAGGATTTTCTTGCTGAAATGTTGTCCTATCATTTTTATCCTAAAAATAAACACGAATATTTTGAAGAGTCGTGATCTGATAAGAACTGATAAAGGCTGGATTCTAAATGGAATGTCATTGACATTATCTTTAAGGCTGTTTTGGAAACAGTGAGCTGATTTACAGCAAATTAGGAAGAGCAAGGACTTTAGAAATTATTCGGAGGTCAGTGTCCTATCTGAATTTTCTACTTCATTATTGTGACATTATATAAACAAATACATTGGTTAGCTATGTGCCTTGTGGTTATCCCTTACCCCCAGCTCATGTTCTAAATGTTGTATTACAAAGGGTAAGATGTAATATGAAAGTAGTATCTTTACCACTAGGCACAATAAAATGGCTAACCCAAATAAAGGGAAATCTGCTTCTTGGATATCTACTATTAGAAAGTCAAGTACAGGGTAAAAGCAGGCTGCCCCTCTTCCACACGGGGTCATTCCTCTCCCCCAAATTAAAAAGGACAATAAATTATAGAAAATGTATGTGGGCCAATTGGTATACATGCGTGTGAATTTAGAACAAAATGAATAAATAGATATGTAATAAATTTTGCAATAAGGAGAAGTATGTTAACGGATGAAATATATAACTGCTTAGTTTGGATGATCCCTTAGCAATAGAATAGGCCTGGTTTTCTAAATCCCCTTGCTTTGTATCAACTTTAAAAGATTTTTTTTTTTAATCCAGTGAATTGACACGTTCTTCAGACAGAGAGTGCTTTGAAGTGCAGATCTCTTCTCTGTAAAGATGACCACACTAGGTGGGCTATTGTCTGATTTTAAAAGCAACAACAGGGCTCAGCAGATAGATAATGAGATAGAGATTAGGTTCTGGGAGCCTGGATTCGTTCTGTCCTTTGGCATCATTAGCCTTCTTCCACTTTTGATAATCCTTTTCCTTCTAATACCGAGAATTACCATTAGTTTTTCTTCTTGTAGAAATGATTAGACTTCCTACTGATATATTTTCATAAGAATAGAGTCATTAGAATAAAAGGAAATTCTGGAAATGAGGGGTTTTGTTTGTTTGCTGTTTGTGTTTATAACTGCAGTTTATAGAATTCTCTTATTTTTTGCCAGTAATGGCTTCTAGATAGTTTATTTTTAGTTTAATTACTTATTTTAAGGCTGAGCAATCTACTAGGTAAAAGGAAAGGCAGGCAGCTGCCTATAGTTCCTCATATTGCTAATAATGCCTATTATCTTATTGGCTTTCTATAAGCTTTTACATTTGAATTGTTTTAGAGGGCCTGAAAAGGATTTTTTAAAAATGCTATTTTTTATTATTATTATTATTATTATTATTATTATTATTATTATTATTATTATTATTATTATTATTATTGATCTTTTATTTCATTTTGCAATTTTTAACTTTATATTTTGAGTGTTTTTTTGTATTTTTCTTGTAGTTTTTTTATTGTACTATCAATCCATGAAATCTTTATTATGATCATAGACCAGCATAAGAAGGGTAAAGTTCAAACAATTTTAAAAACTAAACAATGTAAAATACACAAAGATAAAAAACATTTTAAAAACCTAATATATATATATATATATATATATATAAAAACAAAATCTTAAAAACCTACTAAATGGGATAAAAATATTAAGTAAATATAAACTAACAAGAGTTAATATATGGCTAACTAAATGTATCATAATACAAAACATTCTTAGCTAACAAGTCAAATATTCAGGCTGGTTTGAGGCACACATCATCACATCTCACGGATTTTAATTGCTGCCCCGCAAAATCTGGCAAAACTGTATGTTGTAGCAGGAAGATATTAATTTGTCCTATGCATCCTGGGAAAAAAATTATGGAATGCTGCATGAATTTGCATGCCATTCTTGTGCAAGGGCAACATTAATCTCTGTATCGTTTCAGTTTTAGTTTATGTGTTGCTGAAGCAAGCACTTATTATACTGTTGATTCCCATACATCTCTGGTTAATAGCCAAGATTCCATGTATAGTGGCAGGTATAATTTAATAAACAAATAAAATACAATAGGCATTTTATAAGCTTCAAACTGATTTTACATTGTGATATCTCATAATTCATGAATGTTATTAGCAATTCAGCCCCCAAAGTGTGGACCATGAGTTGTTTCCCAAGGCAACAGCTTTCAGAGCAAATTCCAGGGGAGCATGCCATCTTTTCACAGCCGCATGCAGGGATGTCACTCAGACAAGCCATCATACTGCTCTCCATGCATGCTTATTTATGTCATGCAGCTGTCAAAGATGCTATGCAATTCAGAAAAATTGCATCAGAAATTGGATATAATTAACTTTAGGTTTTAGAAAGGAGAGCATTGACAAATGTCATTTCATTAAAACTGACACTCTTTGTAAGAGGATTCAGAAAAGACTACTCATCTGGAACAGTTTTCACACAACTTGAAATGGGATCTATTGAGGAAGTTACAGAAATTGTCTTCTGAATTAAGTAGAAACTCAAAAGACAGGAACATGAAATCTACGCACTCCCCATATCATGTCTTAATTAAACATGTCTAGTTTAATTAAGAGAAGGATGAGGGGGGATATGATAGCAGTATTCCAATATCTCAAGGGCTGCCACAAAGAAGAGGGAGTCAAGCTATTTTCCAAAGCGCCTGAAGGCAGGACAAGAAGCAACGGATGGAAACTAATCAAGGAGAGAAGCAACCTAGAACTGAGGAGAAACTTCCTGACAGTGAAAACAATCAGTGGAACAACCTGCCTCCAGAAGTTGGGAATGCTCCAACATTGGAAGTTTTTAAGAAGAGACTGGACAACCATTTGTCTGAAATGGTATAGGGTTTCCTGCCTGAGCAGGGGGTTGGACTAGATGACCTCCAGGGTCCCTTCCAACTTTATTATTGTTATTATCAGTGATCCATCCAAGAGATCCAATCATCTTTAATTTACACACAATTTGGGATCAAATCATAAAGACTGGTTTTAATAGAAGAGTGGATTTTATTAATTGGCATTCTTAACAAATGATTGTTTTTGAAATGTTTTGCTCTACAGTAAAATTTCAAGGTCAATTAGTTGCATTGATTCAGTGCTCCAAGGAGCTTGTTTCCGTTCTTGCATGATTTTAATTTATGTGATAAATGAAGCAGTGATTGGCATATCCCTGAAGAGTATGATTTTTGAACACCATTAATACCGTATACTCTTTTCAGAATGATGAGCATGTCCTTCACTTCTCTCTCTCTCTCTCTCTTTTATATCCCATCATGATTAAATGAATCTCAGCAGTTTTCTTCGCATTTAACTGTCATAAAGAATACCTGAAAGCCATCCAGTGAATTTCTGAGACTACCTTTCTATTGTTAAACATAATATGCTCTATCTATGATAGATCCTGTCTTAGCTGAAGTTCTGACTGGGCTAATAGTTTAAAATGGGGGGGGGAACAGTCCCTGATATGATTTTGAGGACATCTGGTAATAGTTGCTCATTGCCAGTTGCTGGCAATGCTAATTTTTGCTATTAGATTTCAGACCTACATTTGTAACGGGCTGAAATTAGGGTTTGTTTTTGGTAAAATATGTATTAAATAAGCCACATGTAGAAGATATAGTCACAGACAGAGAAGGATAAGAAACATGGATGTAATCAGTAAATGACAAATAGTCAAGTAGTGATTGATCAAATGAGAATCTAATGGCTCAAGACATGAATGTATAAAAAGAGAAACCAAATACTCACAACATCATCAACAAGCGCTTCTTGGAAAAAAATGGCTGGGAAACATATTGAAAGATGATGAAGATTCTCAGTCATCCAGATAGAGTTGTCTGGAAGCTGAATCATGGCAACTGGTTTTCTTTTCTTGTTGTTTCAAACTAATGAGAAAAAAAAGTCCAGTTGCCATGACTCAACTCCCAGATATTGAAAATTGTTTTGTACAGACAAATAGATGCGGTCTTTTAAATCACAAATGTCTGTTTTGATTGAATTGTGATAACAGTTCTGGTTCTAGGTATGAGAGGGGTGATGCTGCATCCAATAGAAATTGGGCCAGTCATTTCTCAGTTTGATTCCCCAGGCTGTCGCTGAGAACGTGTTGATGGAAAGCAAATAAATTCCCATTAACTATGTTTGTTTTCTTCTCTTTCAAATATAACTGGCCTTTCTAGTAGGGAATGGCAATGTGCATAATGGTGCCTTTTCTAAACCACAGAACTGGGTAATTACTTTAAGGAATACTGCTGCATTTGTACATCTTTTTAGAGATGTGCTGATTGCCTTTAACCTCTATATGTCTTTAAAATGTAGTTTGCCTTCCCTTTATATGAAGAGAAAAAATTATTGCATATTTAATGCACTCACCTTTCTTGCTCAGGCTGTGATTAGAAAATAACTGCTGTAGTATTTGAAATTGTTACATTTGATTAAATGTGTTGTTTAAAAAAGGGATTAATAGTGGGAAAATTTAAACAACAAATTTTATAGCTTCAGCATTTTTCTGATTATATTCTACCTGTCCTCCATAAACTCAAGGTGACATATTTAGTACTTCTTCTTCCATCCCTGAGTTGAGACAAAAGGAGCTCCTGTGGCTGTAGCTAGACTTGACTCTTGGCATCCCAATCTCACTCCGATACTTTAACCACTCCTTGCAGGCATATTGCTGTCCTGCGTTAAATCCAGCCAGCACAATGAATTGTTGTTCTAATGCCATTATATGTCACTTTTTTTTTTTAGGTATCACAAAGTGCACCTTATGCTACAGATAATATTAAGAGCAATGATAAGCTAGAGGGGTGGAAAGAACCACCTGACCTGGATGAGCAGATTGAAACAGCACAAAATATAAATTCAATGAAAGCCATTGATACCTTCAGGTAAGAACAAAGAAGTCAGCCCCACATACCCCTCCCTAACTGTAACAAAACCACGTTCAAGTAATCAGCTTTTATGCCATGTCCTCATGACTTTGCCTTCATCTTGTTCTTCACCTAAATGGAGTCTGTTTAAAGTTGCTTTCGGCTGTTGCAGTTTTCAAGTATTGTTTTCCCTCTTAACCCAATACAGTTTTTGCCATCAGCACAATCTAATATACTTCCTTGATGATGTAATCGAGTTGGCATCTACCAAGCTCCTATATGTAGTTTTAGGCTGTTGCAAGCACCACGCTTCATGGACATTTTGGTTGAGGTTCAGGAAAGATAGGAAATCTGGATTCCACAGCAGTATCCATGTAATGCCTGACCTGAGCTTATCGTACTGTTTGTCAAGTTCTGTGTGGGCTCCTTGTGGACATGAAATATTTGAAATACCCCTATTTCAAAACAACAATAACACCTGTGCACCTGTAACTTGTAAGTTGGGCAATCTGACAAGTGGTTAAATCAGCTGTTCTATCATACACCTAAACTTGTCTGTCCTTTCTTCATCTCAAGAGAGCAATTGATAGTTTTTTCTCAAGCCAGAGAAGCTGGCACCCGGTGGGAGTGAAAATGAAACCAGAGTCACTTTTTTTGTATTAAAATAGTTAAAGACAACACCACTTACCAGGCTTACTGAAGCAGAACAGGGCTCAACTAAGGGTAGTTTACGCTGGCATATTTTTCAGTTGGCTCATTGATTGGAAGAAAACACTTAAACATAGCTATAGAGTGCGCTAAAAGAGATGTGGCTGTTTGGAGTTACTCCAATAATAAGGCCTTGTATTGGGAGAAATACAATGGCATTTTTCTTTCTGTATAATGTCCAGAATTCCCATATCTCTATTCCAGATGAGCAATATGTTCATTGACCTTCTTTCTACTCACACCCCCCCTGGAAAAAAATACTTATCATGCCCCTTACAGATGGTCCTTGACTTACAACCCTCCATTTAATCACCATGCAGAGTCACAACAGTACTGAAAAAAGTGATTTACAATCAGTCTTTTTGCTTAACAACTGTCACAGGATCCCCACAGTCACTTAATCAAAATTTGAGCCCCTTGGCAACCGGCATGTATTTATGACAGCTGCAGGGCCCCAGGGTCATGTGATCGCCATTTTGCAATCTTCCCGCCCTTCTTTTGACAAGCAAGGTCAATGGAGGAAGCCGGATTTGCTTAATGACCACATGATTTACTTAACAACTGCAATGATTTGCTTAGCAAACATGGCAAAAATGTCATAAAATTAGACATTAAATTTAGCAATTGCTCGCTTAGCAACAGAACCTCTGGTCCCAACTATGGTTGTAAGTTGAGGACTAATTATGTATAAGTACTCCTCAACCTACGACAATTGAGCTCAACGTATAACCACAATTGAGCTCAACATTCATGTGGTTAAGTGAGAAATTTGTTAAGCGAGTTTTGCCTCATTTTACAACTTTTTTTGGACACAGTTGTTAAGTGAATCACTGCAGTTGTTAAATTAGTAATATGGTTGTTAAGTGAATCTGGTTTCCCCATTGCCTTTGCTTTTTAAAAGATCACAAAAGGGGATCATGTGATTCTGGGACACTGCAACTTCGAACTGTCATTAAACAAACTGTTGTAAGTTGAGGACTACCTGTAATCTGCTTGTCCTATTATTATAGATACAAGCTGTTTTATGAAATGGAAGCATTTATTTAATATTTAGTGGAGATATATACAACATATTATCTATCTATCTATCTATCTATCTATCTATCTATCTATCTATCTATCTAAATAAAAATGTAAAAGTTCATTTGTTCAAAATCTTAAATCTCCGAAAGGTCTTTACCGATTGCTTTGCAATTTTGACACAACGTTGCATTCGAATACGCGCATGTTTTTATATACCTATTATATAGATGTCACACCTGTGACAGGTAAAAACATGCTTTTTTTGAAAAAACATGTAAAACATGTTTTTTTTAAAAACAGCGCCATTTGTTGGACGTAAAAGCTTTCTCTTTTCTTTCTTTTCCATTTAACCAGACTGAGCCACAGCAACGCGTGGCCGGGAACAGCTAGTTATCAATAAAATACTAATTGACACACTGCAAATACTTTCTCATTCAGAAACTGGCACTACAGTTTTCTAACATTCCAGGTCCTTCTTTCAGATTTAGCAAAATGAATTAACCACTAGGTACAGCTGCTTGCTCCTCTTCCTCTTCTTCTTCCGCCTCCTCCTTCTCTTCCCTGCTCTTCTATAGTTTCATAATGTGCATTGCATCAGCTCCCACAATCTGACTCAAGTTCTGTAGCAGCAGAAATGCCAGTAGCATTTTAAAAGAAAAAGTACTTTGAGCCGGAAGATGTTTATTATACCAATATGTTGCTATCAATATTATATCATGAACGACTGCCATAAAGGGCAGTGCAGCTGATTGCTAGTTTTATTAAACAAAAGATAAACTATGGATTCAGTCGAGGACTTAATAGTTTCTGGTTGGCAGTTACAAAAAAGAGCTAAAAACTTGGATGCACTTATTCATTGCAGAAGTGAGAGCCTGTATAGGCATTTAAAGGAGAAGACAAAATTCCACATGGATAACACTGCCATGGCTGAATCCAAACACTGTAAACTATAACAACTCAAGCATCCAAGGCAAACGGATAGTAAGAATTCTCTCCTTACGAATAAGAAATAAACGTTTCAGTTGAGTTCCATTTCTGCTAAGCGTAATATAGAAGACGATGTTCACCATCTTTCAATAGTTGTGTGGAGAGGGGACCCAAACAAATAGGACATACCTTTCTTCTGGGTGAAGAAACTATTGCAATTCTGTCCCATCTGTCCTCCAAGAAATATATAATGATTATATTATAGTGATTTGTTCCTCTCACCTTTCAATTTATTCCACAGGTAAGTTTGCCAATGACCAGAGATTTGAGCCAAGATTCCTCCAGTTTAAGTCAAACTAGTTTGTTGTATTCATTCATTAGTACTATATGCAGCATGTCAGTTCTAGAAAAAAAAAATAAGATAGGACTCTGTTCTATAAACACATTTCTGTTGACTAACACTGTTTAAAAGTTTAAAAGGGAAAGAGAATGAACAAATACATCCATCTTCCATGTTTCTACTTAGAAACAAATTAGTATTCTAGTATTTATGGTGTGTTTGCATCCTACTTTTCTCCTAAGAGCTTAGACCAAATTACATAGCACTCAATTCTTCTGTACCCAGAATGTCCACTCATGATTTCATATACTGTGGACAGGTTGCACACCATTACACTTTGTCCTTCATCTCAGCTGCAGAAAAATCAGAAGGCTGTTTTTCTTCTTTAATTAATCATCGATTAGCCAAACTTTGGCTAACCTTAACAATTGTGCATTTAAACAAGCTAATCCCTTATACCAGCATTTTTCAATCTTGGCAACTTTCCGATCTGTGGATTTCAACTACCAGAATTCCACAGATCTGAAAATGGCCAAGGTTGACAAACACTGTCTTATACTATAGTTCAGAGTCCATCATTTAATTCAAAGTTATTTTTTCCAATTCCTACCTGTAGAAAGATGGGATAGAATTTGAACTAATAATTTCATTAAGAAAACACAGAAAGCTGTGGTTAACTGAAAATGGAAACAAAAGCTTCCCAATTCAATGAAGTTTCATAGGAAGAAAAAACACACAAGCCAAGAACCATTATTTTAATCCTAAAGCTTGGTTTATATTGGGCCATTTATGAAGTAGAGCTTCAAAAAGCATTTGAACTTTGCAGAGAAAAGGTAGTGTCAATAAGTAGAATTGTGATACCTTAGACTTAGAGGAAGAATGGAAAAACTATGATTTTTCAGATGCTGCTGAACAACAGTTCCCTACAGCTTCAATCAGCAAAAGTGAAGGTTAACGAAGGTTGTAATTCAGTAACATCTTTAGGGCCATGGATTCCTATTCCCGCTAAGGACTAATCTTTATTGGGAATAAGTTTTCATTATCTCATACTACTTTATCAGATAAATTGTGCTACATACCTGCAAACACGCAGACGTAATCATAGAAGAAAATGTAATCAGTGGGGTTCACAGTCCAAGACATGCAACAAATATAATTCAATATTTAAGGAGCAATATATTCTCCCTGCTCCTAGTCATGACGATGACATAAGTGAACAGATGGTCTCCCTGCATAGAGCTCAATTGTCTGCAGTGAGAAATCTAGTTCTACTGCCCTTGCTTCCACATGAGATGATAATCTTATAATGGAAGCTCCAGCTCCTTATGGAAATGTGTATGCATTTGTGTGTCTCTTCAGTGACATCTTCAATTCATTTGAGAAAGGGCAGCTGATACACATGTCCTCCAAGTGTTGAAGTGAAATGCAGCGATAACACCTGAGAAGCACTGCTCTCTATGGCAATTTTGTGAAAGTCTTAATGTACACAAATTAAAGAGTGACTATCTGTTCCTGATGTTGTATATGGTCATTGAGCTTGCATACAGTTAAGCTATGCTTAGAAATGTTATAAGCTGACCTTTTGGCAAATTATGATCTTTTGTTAACTATTGTTTTTCTTTTCCTTTTCTTTTGTACTTGTTTGTGTATACAGTCTGTAAAAGTATTGTTTTAATGTTTAAATATGATCTTGCCACACCAGTCTAATATAACTTTTCTTCTTCCTGGATTTTGCTCTATAATTTGTTTTGTGGAAACTTCATGTTCCTAACTAGGGACTTCAGAGGAAAATCATTTTTAATTGGTTTAAAGCTTGAAGACAGGAGACAGATGCTTTGTGCTTAATCAGCTTAAAGAATCTTTTTCTTAGCTGATTGCAGTTGATAACACAGTGATCAGAGAGAACAGGCGATGTGTTAATACCGTATTCTATTGTTCTCTAAAATAACAGCACATGCCTTTTTTGCATACAGTTAGAATAGATATTACTTCTGCATTTCCAGAAGTTTCAGCGTTTGAAATATTTTCTGTGTTTTTTTCAATAATCATGTCTGAAAGGAGAAGCATTGCTATAATAAACCAAACTCTGATTTCTGAAGAAGTCTTCAGATATTATCTTTGTATGCAAATATATGGGTTTTTTTTCATTTGAAGATACCTGCAAGAAAAAGGCATGGAAACAACACATGCTACCTAGTGGCAAATAAGATGGGCTGGAATAAAAGTTAATATAAAGAGAAAGCCCATGTGAAATGTGTCATGCAGAGGTTAAAATATTAGACTAGTAACGGAAAACAAGTTCTTAATCACGGAAGCTCACTGGTTGACTTCAGACATCCTAGCTCACAAAGTTATTGTGGAGCAAAATTAAAGAGGATTTTATTTTATGTACACCACCAGGCTATATATCTAACAAAAATCTTCAAATGAAAAGTAAATAATGTTAGAATCTAATTACTTTCAATATAGGATAGCAAACAGAATAGTACTTGGTGAATCATCCTGCCCTCATTATCATTATGAGTTTTTAAGTCAAAATCAAAACCACAGGCTGACACTACAAGGATGTATGATGGCTTTATGCCTAAGTGTAGTGATATTTGTGTTTTTTTTCTCAGAAAAATCAGAAAGAGCAGGTGGCTTTAAGATTGCCAAGGACAAGAGAGCCCCAGATGGTACCAATGGCCCTGTTGCCTAATTACCTCTGTATGTCCTCTAGAGATTACATTAAAAGGAATTATTGCCACAAGAACTCTGGATGCATGAAAAGCCATCCAAGTCATCCTCCTGGCCAGAAAAGGGCATTGGTGGAACACATGCTTCATTTGGAAACATTAGCATTTCAAACTATATTCATTTTCTTTTTAATTTCTTTAATGTAGAAAAAAATTAAGAGAGCAGATAAACATAGCAAAAAAAATGAAGGGAAGGGAAGATCTGTTTTCTAAGTACAGTATTAAATGTAAAATTAAACCATAACCTTGTGGAATAATATTGGTCAGGATTTCTATTGTTTTGACAGAGAACCAGGCCATAAGCAGAACAAACAAGTATCATCAGTTCAAAACCACACCGCAGCATGATTAAAAAAAAACCAAAGAAATTCATATTAGCCAACAGTTGCTGGAAAAATTGGATCTATTTTTGTTCCATATTAAGAAAAATCACTGCTGCTGATGTGTTTTTCTGGATATGTATCTAAAATATGAATTTATATTCTAATATTAGAAGTTCCTTGCCCTTCTATAAAAACAGATGCACAGAATGGATAATCAGAGCCAAGGTAGTGGTCAAAATGATGCCATTGCTATTAAAATAGGACATTCTTCTGTCCGACTGCATACACCCAGAGATATTTATTCTATCATATTCTGTTCTGAAAACTGCTCTCAAAGCCAGCCCTATCATTAAGCTGAACGAGGCTGTTAAGAAAAGACTCCAAATTGAACATTATTTAATGTTGTAATAGTATTTTTTCTGCCAGGAAGGGGCCGAGATGTTCAGCAGATCTTCTGCTTCTAGTGCTAAGAAATTTGATCAACTGTAGGTATTATGTACCTCCTCAAGGCTAGGAGCAGAACTTGCTATTTGTTAAGTATTTAAGACCAAACCTGAATACAGACGGGATCATTTATATAAATGCATAGTGTTTTACAGTGTTTATTGTCCACGTTAGTAGACTGGTTTCTATTCTGTTGTGTATTTTTTTCAAAGATAGGTTAAGAATCAAGATCCATTTTTATTTACATCTTTCCCTGATGGGTTATGGGAAAGGATACCAGGATGGGGCGGTGAAGGAGATAGGAAGGGGGAAAGGAGAAAAAAGGGGTATAATTCTGTGTTTACTAAATTCTAATTGAGTTTATAAAAAGATTATTTCTAAGCAAGAATGCATCCTAACTTTTTGTATACTAGGACAAGCAGATTAAAATTTCCACAGTTTTATTTAATCCTGTAGCTTTAGACACCTAAATATATATCCCAAATATGCACACGCTCAGAAGCTTCAAGTCTTTTAAAGTGTTATTCTTTCTACATTGTCATATGGCTTTTTAATCGCTGTAATAGTATTTATTAGATATGTAATTGCTAAGTCGATCTATCCATGAAAACGAGACAAATTGAAAAAAAGTTGATTCTGCTTCTTTCAGAACTGCAAAATACAAAGAAGTAGAAAATCGCATTAAACAACACACACAATTAATGAAAGAAAGAAGAAAAATGTTAAGAGGGCTACCCAAAGAAGATATGGAAAAAGCAAATCAAGACCTCGAAACTGTAGGTTTGCATTTAGAAAACAAATCAAAGGCTTTGAAATTGTAGGCTGCATTTATTCCCTTTGAAATTAGGATTAATTCATATAAACGAGGGGTATCAAACTGGCAGCTCGAGAGTCAGATGCGTCACATGCAGGCCACGCCCACTCCGGCTCGGCAAAGGCAGAAAACATTGCGATATGTCACGTGACGCAATCGAGTTTGACACCCGTGATATATACCATTTCTAAATGCTGGGACTGAATGTGATTTGTGCTCACTCACCTTCTTCCCCTTGGTGTTTTCCAATCCCTTCTCCTCTTGATTGCAAACTGTATCATAAACTATTTTGACAGAACTTTGATTTGCATATAAATCAAGATTCTAAAACAGTCCTTAACTAATTCAAATAAATGCAATTGGTTTGTAGGATGGGCAGATAAAGCAACATGAATGAAAAATAAATGAAGAAGCATCACTTTAGTTGAAATGGGACAAAGAATTTTTATTATGGTGGTTTGTGAATGAATGAATGAATGAATGAATGAATGAATAAAATAAACATTTCAAGCGGGATTTTTTTTTAAATATCAATAGAAATTATATATATATTATATTACATTAATATTATATGTCATGAAACCTATGCATGCAAGTAATCCTTGACTTATAAGCACAATTGAGCCCAGCATTTTCATTGCCATGTAAGACAGTTGTTAAGTGAATTATGCCCCATTTTACAACCTTTTTTGCCACAGGTAAGCAAATCACTGCAGTTGTTAAGTTAGCAACATGGTTGTTAAGTCAATCTGGTTTCCCCCTTGACTTCGCTTGTCAGGACGTCGCAAAAGGGGATCTCATGACCCAGGGACACTGCAGCCGTCATAAATACATGCCAGTTGTATTTATGTGAATTTTGATCATGTGACCACAGGGATACTACCATGGTCATTGGTGTGAAAAACGGTCATAAATCACTTTTTTTCAGTGCTGTTGTGACTTTAAATGGTCACTAAATGAATGGTTCTAAGACAAGGACTACCTGCATTATGTTTACCCTTCTAAAGAAAAATCATTTTTAGAACTGACAGTATACTAGAACTGGAAATATAGAGAAACAAGACTAAAGCTAGTGCAAGATATTATTCTAACATGGTGACAAATACAGGTACTTACAGTCATTTATGTTTATTGACCAATGAACTGTTATAAAGGCACGGAAAAAAGTGATGACCAGTCCTCACACTTATGACCTTTGCATCATCTCCACAGTCATGTGATCAAAATTTGGGTGCTTCTCAATTGAAATACATATATCACAGTTGCAGTGGTCCCAGGCCCATTGGCAGCTTTCCCAGATGGCTTTCAACAAGCAAAGCGAATTGGGGAAACTGGATTTGCTTAACAACCATATGATTCACTGAACATTTGGGGCAATAAAGGTCGTAAAATCAGGCACAACTCATTTAACACGTATCTTGCTTAGCAACAGAAATTCTGGTCTGATTGTGGTCGTAAATCAAGGATTACCTAGTATGTGAAACTCCATATGGTTCAAAGTATTCAGATTGTTCTATATATAACTGAACAAAAAAATTCATTAAAAAAGCACTTTAAGGCTCTTTTTTTAATCCAAGACTCGGAAAATGGTCTTGTGATTTGCTAATGATGGGTGGAAAAAGAGAAATAAGTTCCATCTCATTGCTTAACTGGTTGATTTAAAAAATGTTCTTCAGTATTAAAAAATGATATGGTATAGGCAGCCCTCGACTTATGACTGCAATTGAATTATGGTCATAATTCATGGTGGTCGTTAAATGGGTCACCACATGACTGTGCCTGGTTTTATGTCCTTTTTTTGTGGCAACTGCTAAATGAACGCCATGGTCTCTAAGCGAACCTCTTTTCCCAAATGGGAATTTTTGGCAAAAACTGGAAGTAAATGCAAAAACCACTAAAATCACGGTCACATGGGTGCAGGGGGCTGCAATCAGCCATAAACCTGATCCGGTTGCTAAGCAATCAAAACGTGTGGCGTGGCTGTAGGATGTTGCAGCCGTTGTAACTTTGAAAATAGCTCTGGGATGATCTGTCTAAGTGACCAGTCATTAAGCGAGGATTACCCGTAGGTGGTTAAGAATTATAATTTTATATAAATATAATTCCATTTTATAACAGAATGATTGTCACTGATTTAGATCATTGGTCAACTAAGCCTAGTATTATCAAGTATTAGCAGTAGACTAGATTTTTTAAGCCCTGTCAAGAAACGCCAGAGGTAAAACCAGTTTTGTCACTGAATTATGGCCTTGCAAATCCTAAAATTATGCTAAACTAACATTTTGATCATATGCACTTTAATATGGAAATATATCCTGTTGAACCCAGTAAGAGTTACATTCAAGTAAAATGAACAGAGTAGAACTACAATAGAAGCATGACAATTGTTGCGCTTGCTGCAAGAGCTGTTAGATTAAGCCACATTTGACAACAACTGAGTTTAACATTTCCGGGGCTGTACTAGTAACCAAGGAAGTTCATGGTCCAATAAATCTAATTATCTTTGAAATATTACTGGAATCCAAGCTGTTCTTGCTGCAAGAAACTCACCGCACAATCCAAGATATTAAAAAGTTCAATGGCATTTGATCCTAGGAAATTATCTTAATAAAGTAACTTTCCCATATTTGGCTATGGTACCCATATTCTGGAATTTGCCCCGATAAACATAAATATCCTATCTTTGCTGCAGTTTAAGCATATGATTAATTTTGCTTGCCATGGAATTTGGGAACCCATGGTGGTACAAAGCAATACTGGCCATTATTACACGGAAGGCTGTCCTGCACAAAAGTACCCAGCCACATCCTGACGGTACTTTGGGCCTCTGTTCTGCCTTGGCAATGAAACAGAATGGAGCTTTTGGCCACACTGAGAGTTCAGAGGAGAGAAGAGGTGGGCTGTGAATGTCTCCTTTAGTTCCAGTCACAGCCAGCAGAAGATTAAATGGTGGTCTTCAACCCTACAAGTAAAGACCAGTGAATCGACAGCAAAGGGGCCAGTCTTCATTGCTTCCTTTCCCCCATTATCTCTCTCCTGCTTCTCCTGCAACTCACAAGAACAGAAACAGGGGAGAAGAGATCTTGTCGCCCCTTTTTTTCCCCTCTGCCTTGTGAAGCCAGAGGAAGTCTCCCTGTCCTTATACACACACTTGGAGGAATCCAGAGAGCAGAGTCTCTTCTGGCAGCTTAAAATATATTGTAGTTTTTTAAAAAGGTACTCCTGAAATCTGGCATGGGGGCAGGGAGGTGGAAAAAGTGCCTAAAGATAATTCCAGCATCGCAGATACATTTAAAATCCACCTCCACTACAGATTTGGCATTGCAGCATTGAAGACAGCCGGGAGGTGCGTGCCCCTGTCCTGCAGGAAAGCTCACACAATGTTGCACCCCAAAGTTTTAGGGTTTCAGATCCAAAGTCATGTCCAGAGGTATGCTGGTGCCCATTCTTCCGTCCAGCTGGAAAGGAAATCAGTGGCTAGAGACCCGGAGGATGCAGGAACATCTGACTCGGCATGCTTGTGCTAACAGAGAAGTAGAAATACATTATAATTAAAGTTGAAGAAAAAATAACAGGTGGAGACTGCCTTTGTGGTGGGTCAGGATGGGTTGGGCCAGGGGTAGGCAACCTCGGCTCTTTTATGACTCATGGACTTCAACTCCCAGAATTCCTGAGTCAGCATAGCTGACTCAGGAATTCTGGGAGTTGAAGTCCATGAGTCATAAAAGAGCCGAGGTTGCCTACCCCTGGGTTGGGCACATCATTGTGTATTCATGTTCTCAAAAGTTAATGGTTATCTTCATGTCGGGGGCAAGCAGGAAGTGCAGGGCAGCTCTTAATTCTTGCATTTTATTATTTCTTCCCCCCTAGAGATACACTGCATTCCACCATGAGATCTAGCTACACAGTATAATAGATATTGGCCACAATAAATAAGTAGAATAGATATTAGCCACAATACTGAGCAGGATTCATCATTGAAGTTTTCTTAGCCAAAGGCAATTCAGGATCCATTATTTCATGCTGACACGACAATGGCAGACAGCCAGGGTTAGCTCTCCAAGTTTGCAACTGCATAGTATTATTGTTTGAGGCACAACTGAAAATAGCATGGTCATAGCTAAATGTCTGTGGAGATTCTCAGTCATCCAGGTCACAGTTATCCCAAAAATGCTTTTCCCCCACGAGGCAACTGGGCTTTCTTGTTTTTCTTTGAAGCTTCTTTCTCATCCAAGAAACTTCTTCAGCTCGTGTTATGTTAAGTTGATCATTGTATGTGGTGCTGTATGCGGCTTGTTTATTCATATCTGAATCTTTGCCACCACCACAGGTTGAGCATTTTGAGGAGCAGCTTGCTGAACTGAAGAAGGACCTTCACAAGGAGTATCGTTTCACCGCTTTTACAGGCGAGCTGCTTCCTACAGCAGATAATCTCCTACCCACAAATATATTTTCTAAAATGACATTTTAAGTGGATGAAAGACTGTTTCTCATGCAGCAGCCTCTCATTAGTTGTTTTTTTTTTAGGAGAATCTGTTTTTAAAAAGACTTTTTAAAGCTACATATTGCCTCTTTATTGTTGTTTGTTTTTATTTCATAAAGTTAAATTTAATATATGTCCTAAGGCTTTGGAATACCTTATAGTTGTAGTGTGGGTTTAAGGATAGTGTGGTTGCATTTTGTTTTTTTTTCTATCTTCTCAGAATTCTGTCACACACCTTATGTTTCATAATTTAATCTGTATTAACGAGCCTTAGCAGAAGTAGAAAAGTTTTTTTATGTAATTGTATATTGTGCTAATTCTGGTATAGTAACCTCAGGAACCAAATAACAGCCTTTCTTGACAAAGGTTTTTGAGAATGGGAGGTGATCAACTTGGCCTTTCATCATTCCTAAACTAATGGATCCCCCCCCCCCAAAAAAAAACCCTGAAAGGGTTTAGACTGATATTTAGCTCATTAGCATCTATGTGCCTTAGCTGAGAGGCCTGTTTTCCATGTTAAGAAAATATTTGGCTTCGAAGTTTCTAACCATATATCAGATTTTATTATTGTACCCTCAAAAGTGATAAAACTTGTCTCTGAACTTGGATGCTCAAGGATTTTGTTATTATGGAAATGTCAAAGCTGATAGAAAGCTACACGTTGAACTATAAAACAAATCTCCCTGAAGCAATTATTCATCAAATGCATTTTATCATAATAAGATTAAGCACATAACTTTAGCAGAGAGCCATTGCCAGTATCTCCATATGTGATGTTTGGAATCGTTTAAGGAATGCAGTTATTTTACTTAAATATCAAGAAATCAGTAGCAAAGTGGTCAAGAGACAAGAGACTAGCCTGATCTTTATGTATTTCTTTAACTGATTTATGTAACCGCCCACTCGTCATATAACTCAACCTTCTTAGATTTAAACAATTTGTTAAAGACAGGATGTGGCTGTACCAGCTGTATTTCTCTTGATACAATAAACAGCTGATGTTTCTTCTCTGTTTCTGAGTCCTGTCTCTGATTAGTGCTTGCCTTGGGGCAAAATAACATTTTCAGATGGAGTGCACTTTCTAGCAGGCTTGCATTATGGTGGTACTAATACTAGCCATCTGTAGTTGTATTCCATCCACATAATGAAAGGGAGAGATAACGCTGAACTTCCAGTGGGAAAGAACTTTTTTTAATGTTTAGAACAGCTGGAGGCTGAAGGAACAGGAATTACTCTTTATTCATAACTCCACAAAAACTCTGATTAACACTGACTATCCATCTTCAAAATGGCTTGGTCAGTTTCACTGGTTTATTGCAAAGCCTTCCTCGATTGTCCTTGTTCCTTACTCAGTACGTGTTTGTACTTAAATGGTGCTGTTTCCTACAACACATCTCATATCTCAGCACATACACACGAGATGTTACTCATTTCATCCATCATCTGCTATTTCATTCTTTTCTCCTATGTGAGCAGTGTTATTGTTGTTATCAGGGAAGGACCAAAGCAGAAATTTTGTAGAATGACTCTTCTGTTCAAAACGCACTTCCAAAATGCAGCAGGGCTGGCCTGCCTCAATTTGGAATAACTTACACAATCAGTATAACTGATACAGGATATGTGTCATAAAACTGTTACCCACCATGTAAAATTAATTACTCAACTGATTATAAAACATTTCCTATATCATTTGAAGGGCTGCAGTAGAAGGGGTGATAATGTTAAGCAAGATTCCTGTGTCATTTCTGTGAATTGGGTTGAATTTTTTTGGTTTTTGTCTAGATTTTAGGAAAACCTTTCTTCCTTGCTTTAAAAATGCAACCATTAATTTTTGCAGTCATGATTATAGGATGAGGAAGCTACCATAAATGGATGTGATACCACCAGTGCTTTTTTTCTATAAAAAAAAAAAGGTGCCGGAACTCACACACGTCATACAACCTGCCTTGCCTACCCTACAAGGTTCCATCCAAAAAAAGTGCCGGAACTCCGTTCTGGGCGTTCTATGAGAAAAAAAGCCCTGGATACCACTATGTGGTCTCGGAACCCAGTTTGATCATCCCACCTCCACATCTCATCAGAAGGTGAAGTACCAGACCCTTCAATAGAAGCATAGAGCATGTTGATTAGTGACTCTCAGCAGTAAGACCTGACTTGGTTTAGCAATGCCAAAATCTTATCATGTATTGGTCCAGCCTCCAATTTATTAAAGGAAATGCTATACAAAATACAGACCATCACCTCCATCCTAGCTAGCTCAGAATTCTCAGGTATATAGAGGTCAGAGCAATTATGTGACAACAGAAATGAGCATTGCCATAGCTCCTTCATTTTGGGCTTATGAGTGTCAGTCTGAGCATTTTCCTGATACATTTAATGGCAGGCAGTTTGTTTATTTATTTATAAAATTTATATAGACGCCAATATTCTTGGTTTTGGTTTCCTTGTCGGGACTACCTTGAAGGGCTGACAATATACCAAGAGCCATCAATTTATAAAACCCCACTCAAGAAAGCTTTGTACCCCAAATGCCCTCCAGAATAATTCCATTTCTCAGCTGTTTCTAGAAAGAAATGATAGAGCTGGGCTAATTTCTACTAGGAGGCAGTTTCAAAAGCCTGGCATTGCTACACAAAAGAAGCATGTCTGAACATCACCCCCCCCCACACACACACACACACAACGTACCAAAAGTGGTAGGTTGGTAGCCATGAATTTTCCCAGAAAGACTGGGAAATCAGGCTGATTCTACTGGGGGAGTGTGGTTGTGAAGATAACTTGGTGCCAAGTTTTTGTATTTCTGTCCCAGTTCTGGTATTCCTAATAAAGTCACCCCAAATCTGGAGAATTAGGGGACTTGAAATCCTGTAATAGGGAGAATACTAGGTTGATGAAAACTGCCTTAAAAGGAGAAAATGTAAAGATTTAAACCTATTCTTCATCAACAACATCAGAAGCATTTCTCAGTTATTTGGTCTTCTCTCCAACCTTCAACTGATTCATGTCAACCACATAGTAAAGCGCTCGAAAATAATAACAAAGAAAGACTGAGAATCTGAAAATCTGAGCAGTCTAGGGGATTTATAGTGACAAGGCTTAAATACTCCCTGGGAGACTTTCATAAGAGCACCAATTAGAAGTAAAGCTGGAATAAACCAATGCATTCTTCACAAAGAGCTGTGAAGCTCTACCCAATATATGTATTATTTAAGGATGGTGCAGATGGAATTTTCATATTACATTGCTTGCTTTCCTCTCTCTCCGTGGTTTTTTTCTGGTGAGATAGGGAACTTTCCCAAATAATTAGCTGGGTCATAGGAATTGTTCCAAAATGAGCAAAAATTCTTTAGGGAATGTCAATATGGTACTCTTCAGATATACTGCATCACAGTAAAAAGTCACAAAATTCTTGACCATGAGGCTTAGATTTGAGGTGAGTGGCAGTCCAATATATCTGAAAGACTTACAATTGCTACATTTCAATAGAGGTCCCTTTGCAGCATTTTTTCCTTCCATTGCAACTCTGCTCCCATGGCAACATTTTCATATGGCCCATTCAACTGAATCTGTAATAATGTGTTTTAAATGATATTTTTGTAGCCTAGATCAATTATTTGTCACCTTTCTTGCTCTTTTAGATCTTTTCACACATGGGACTACCAAATTTTGAGGTCTCACATTTATTTAGAAGAACCATGGTGGCACAGTGGATAGAAAGCAGTATTGCAGGCTATCTCTGCCAACTGCCAGCAGTTTGATCCTGACCGGTTGGCTCATGGTTGACTCAGCCTTCCATCCTTTCAAGGTCAGTAAAATGAGGACCCAGATAGTTGGGGGCAATATGCTGATTCTGTAAGCCGCTTACAGAGGGCTGTAAAGTACTGTGAAACGGATATAAGTCTAAGTAGTAAATGCTATTTATTCAGTTTGGATGTTACCCAACTCCACCCAATTCTGACCAGTTCATGACAAAAAAAGTTAACCAGCCCAGGGACAAAAATAGCTACAAAATAATTCACCCTGGTGCTAGTGCCACAGCACTTTCTTGATTTCAGTCTTATCTCTTGGTCTACTTTTTTGTTGATTGGAATTTCTATTCCTTCTTTGTTACCTGTTGGTGCTCTTTGGAATTTCATTCACCCTTTCACTCTTTATACTGACCTCCTTGGTTCTTGAATTTCATTCCATTCATTCCATTTCAGTGTCAAATTTATGCCAACAACACCATGGTACATACTTTGTCTATAGCTCTTCGTCAGATTGTCTTGCAGGGATCTCAATTTCAGTATAATCACACCAACTAAAGTTCCACATGGACCAAGCAGAAATTGTTTTTTCATCCGCCTTCTCCTGTCTCTTCATTGGCTATTTCTCCCTTTTATTTCCAAGGCTATCAGCTGTTTATATCTTAAGTGGTTACCGGAGGGCCTATGTGGAAGATAAACTCACTATGAATCCATTCATTGCATGGTGGGGGTATTGCAATTTACATGCAGTTTGGCCAGTTCTGAAGTAGAAAGCCAAGTAATTCATGACCTGATTATTTTACAGCTGAATAATTTTAGCAATTTGTTCTCTTGGCTTCCTCAATAGTTTCTCATTCAAATCCAAAACAATATTATAAAGCTTGTTTGAAACTTCCCAGTTTTCCCCAAAGTTCCCTTTAGATGCAGGCTCTTCCACTGACTTCCAATCAAGTCACACTATCAATTTATGTTGTAAGCCACCCAGAGTCATTGGACATGAGATGGGTGGCAAATTTTCATAATAAAAATAAATAACTCAGTTTAGACTCCTTATTTTGGCATTCCATCATTTCAAACATTCCGACATATGGGGTCTTTGGTGTTCTCTGAGCTTGGTTGTTTTCTTGCAGCTGTTTCATTACCAAACTAGGTAACATCATCAGTGCTAGAAGGGAGTGGAGTTTGCCTTTTTCATATATGTGGCTTGCCCTGTCAGTGTTGGTGGGAGTCTTCTTGGTGGTT